TTTGGCCAGTTTTTGTTAATAGGTCAATTGTTTCAGCTTTATAGTTCCAAAAAAGGAACGGGTTTTGAAATTTCTATATTTTCAATTTTCTATTTTGACCTTTATTGACTCTTGTTGACCTATATCTTTTGACCTGTATGATGTAGAAGCTTTAAATTTGGAACACAACATAACATTCAGAATATCAATTAACCTATGCAAAAGAAATTGAGCTGGGCGTAGCACATCCGGGTTAAATTACTCATTATTGACAATTTTGGCAAGGGACATAACTCGCAACGTTTACATTTGTTCAAAATGGAACTTTGCATACAATTACTTCATTCGTTGAGCCACGTTGTCTTAGAAGTTCGATTGTTTCAGCTTTATAGTTCAAAAAAAGGAACAGGTTTTGAAAATTCAAAATTTTCAATTTTTGACCTTGACCTTTTTTGACCCTGATTTTTGTAGGATCAAAGGTCATTCACATTGGCTATCTATTTATACTTTTATATTTGCTGTCCTATCTCAACTTCCGGTTTTATAGCCGTATATAATTAAAAATTTGGATGACTTGTATCTCGTAACCTTGACCTTTGTTGACCGTCTCCCTTTCAATGTCAAATGTCATTGACCTTGGCTATCTTCTGATACTTTCATTTGTGAGGGCTGTTTACTTCCGTTATAACAATCTTACAAACAATTCTTCTCAACTTTAGACTGCTCTTGCGCGTGATGTAATTATCGTAGAAGGTTGATTTTTTCAGAGTCTTTAGCATTTTGCTACATTTGCAAAGTCCCACTCTGTGCCACGTGTGGCTCTAGTTTTACTTACTTTCCAAAAACTTCTCAATGGAAACGCCTCTTACCAAAATCTTCACTAATTGACATCAACGTCACTGCAACGTTCCCACCACTAACTAACTGAGAACATTGATATATCAAGAATATCAAATACTTACCAAGAACCTCACTTAATAACTACAAACTTTGGTTTCTTGTCACCAACTTCGCTTTCTTGTCACAGATGTCCCTTACCTATCACAAACGTTCCTTATCGACCATAAACTTCACTTGCTGTTCACCTATTCATTCCATTATACCTATTGCGTAATCGTAAAACTAAGACTGCCACAAACTTCTTTTGCTTACCACGAATGTCTTTAACTTACCACAAGGCATGAAGATATTCAGTGTAATGCACACAGAGAAGAGGAAAACAACCACGATCACTCATGACAGCATATCAAGTAATGCACAGATTGGATAGAAGCTTTGAATGCGATCATTAAGTAAAATATAAACTAGGCCTGTGGACAACTCCGAGCGTGGCAACGAGTCCTTATCCCATGTCTTTTGGACAATTAAATTAAAACTCGCGGGTATCTGATAAATAAATCAAGTATATAGTTACAACCCAGATATGTCATACGGCCTTATTAATTTGTATTGGACTAATTGGCAATGCTGACTGTAATTATTATTTGTGCTAGCTCTTCGTTAGCAACATCAATTATAAAATGGCATAAATTCACCCTAGGGAAATATTAAAGAAATAATTCAAAACCAGCCTACCATTTGTGAACAAAAAATTAAAAATCTTAAATCTGGATAAATTGCGAAAAGTCTAATTTATTAACGAAATAAAAAAAAAACTTTTTGTAAATTATTACAATTCCGATTATTGGCAATTTATGTTTATAACCTTATAGTATTGATCCGTTTGGGATCATTCTCATTGAGGCTAATTAAAGTTTGGGGCAATATTATTTTTCCTTTAGGGCTACTGGCTCAAGCTACCTCTCTTTGGGTCATTGGCCTGTTTTTGGTAGCTGATGGGGGAAAGCGAACAGCAGATGCTTATTGACATATTGCATAATCTACATCCCCATCACGACCTAGATGAGCCACAGACAGTCTTTATAATGATACGTATGATGAATGGTCGTATAAAGCTAAGTAAGCATACTAAAGGTTTTGATAATCCATTCTTTTTAAACAGAAAATGCATTTATCTCTAATTTACATCGTCTACTTATTTAAGTTTATTATATAAGAGATACTCTCATGTAGAAACACTGGCATATATATATATAGACATTTCTAGTCTGGGCCTTAATTAAATGCTAACGGTTCAATAACTTAAGAATTTACAGCTTTACATGGATGTATGTTTCAATGAAGAACTAACGGCATGAAATAAGCCCGATTTTAAAGATGGGTTTCCTTATTTTGTAGTGTCAAATTAAGCAAACTATTTAATTAATTGTTGTTTCAAAATGAGTTGTCATGTATTCTTAATCATATCATTATGTTCTTATTTAACCAATCACAAATGTCCATGTATGTACAGTCTGGGTAAACAAATAAAATACTTTTTGACCTTTCTTGATCGGCCACTCATTGGAATTCTGGTGGTAATTCTCTTCTAATTACACTCATTGTGAATTAATTATGGACATGTGCGACAAACTGGTATTTCCAGTCATTTAGAACACCTCTACGTTCTATTCGTAAAAGTATTAGCATTTCCATTTTCATAA